TATGAATTTATAATTAATTTTATAAAATACGAAACTTGAAACAAAATGACGACAATAGATTATTTAAGGAAAATAGGTGTAAAAAGTGATAATAATCATTTTGATGATAAAACGTATAATTCTAGTAGATGAATAGTCATAATAGTAAAAATAGTTGTGAAAAAGGATTATCTTATACATTATTAAATTAAAAGCTTGAAAATAATATATCGAAAGAAAGAAAAGTCAAAATTGGGTGTCAACACCTACTACCAGGGCCTGTTTGTACTTTGCACTGCCATCATCATGTGTTCTTTGGGTTTATTTAGTGTAGCCTATTAAGGCAATCCAAAAGAACCTCCAAGAACTTATGCGTCTTTGGGTCAGTGGTGGCTTGGGGAAATTTAGCTTTGCACTTTCTCGAAATGAAGACGCATTGCTTAAGTGACCTTTACCTCCAGACTAACAAATTGGTAGAGGGAGCAGGGTAGAGGTTTTGCTCTCATAGTTTAACCCCTGGCACCTACTTAAGCCAAATTTATGCAACAGAGATTTTCAAGTTTCACCTAGAAAATCTACCTGAATTGTGGTAAAATATCTAAGATGGGATTCAACAAATATTTTTATCCCCCTTACTCCACTTATAGCATGTCTCTAAATATAGAGTTTAATAGGCAGTTAAATCTCCAGATGATTGGATATTGCAGATATGCCCAGTCATTTAACTTTTTCAATTTGTTCTTCTAAGAATTCTGTTTTTTGGTCTAATTATCGACATCTATTGATACCTGTGCTATGTTATTTACTATTCTGCCTGACAGTAGGCCAAGTTATGGGTTGTATAAATCCTTTCTATTTTGAACGCAATAGTTCTTTTTTTTTTTTTTGATGAAGTAAGGTATTTCATTAAAAAGCATCAAGCAGATGCAAAATAGCAGAATAATAGGCAAAAGGGCCCACAGAGCATAAGCAAAAGTTGTTAGCTCATTTATAATCTTCAAACTAGTACTAGAGAGCTAACAGAGTCAAGAATTTGTTCAGTGCTAAATACAGGTGTTAACATAACCCAACTGAACAACATAAGTAAACATTTAGCTTTAAGGGAGTGCTTTGGAGTTGAGATCCCATCAGAACATCTAAGGTTCATTTCAGTCCATAAACACCAAAAAATAACTCCAGGGATCATTACCCAGACTTTCTTGATGGACTTATCAACTCTCCATGTATTCTAGCTCGCATAGGCTTCTTTCACATTATGTGGTATGACCCATTGTAAGCCAAAATGCAGCAGAACATATTCCATAGGACCTTGGCCACTGCACAGTGAAGGAGCAGGTGATTGACTGTTCTGTGCTATTCTGACACATATAGCATTTATTATCCAGATCGACGCCTCTTTTGTTTTTTTTTTAGAAAGGTAACATTTACTTCTATATATCCACAGGTATACTACATCAAAGAGTAGTTCCCTTCCAAAAATTTATACTTACAACAGCCCTAAGATCTTCTAATTACAGCCAGTCAATAACATTAGAAACATCTTCAGAATTTCCTACTACTACTTGCTTACACCAAAAATAATAAAGACCTAGGCAGTTTATCTTTATCTTATGAATATTGTTGTTCTTTCCTTCAAAACATCTTTGATTCCTTTCATTCCAAATTGTCCACCAAATGCATGTTGGGACAATCCTCCATCTCTCCTCCTTTTTTCCTGCATTTCCATCACTATTCCAGCATTTTAGAACTTCTGTGATTCTCCCTGGTTTTGTCCACTTGATCTTCCTCTTGTGAATGAATATCTGCCATAATTGATCTGTCCATTTGCAGTGTAAAAAGAGATGGTTGACTGTCTCCACCTGTTCTTCGCATAAATAACATCTAGAGCAAAGGTTGTGTTTCCTCTTGTTCAAATTTTCGTGTGTCAAGACTTCCTCCTTTGCCAAAAGCCATGTGAAATAATTCACCTTGTATGGGATTTTTGTTCTCCAGATCATCCTCCAAGGCCATCCTGCTTGCTGCTCTTCAATAGGTCTCAATTCTCGATATGCAGATCTTACAGTGAACTCTCCCTTTCTCTCCCCTTGCCATATCAGTCTATCTTGCTCTTCTGTTAAATTGGTAGCCCTAGCCATTGTGTCATGAAATCTTGCTATGGATGTTATTTCCCAGTCATTTATGTTTCTTCTCAGATGTAAATTCCACCCTTGTCCTGTCCATAAGTCTGGCACTGATGCTTCATGTGCTTGACTTAGACTATGTAGCTTAGGGAATGCTTGTTTGAGTGTCTCCTGTCCGCACCGGATGTCATTCCAGAATGCCATTTTTTCTCCAACCTTACATTTTGTTCTATCTTTGACCAGTAGCCATAAGTTCCTGATTGATCTCCATACACTACAATCATAAGGGCTGGTCACCCTCTCTGTCATCCACTTGTCCTCCATGCCATATTTTGATGTTATTACTTCCTTCTATAGAGATACTTCTGGTGAGACAAATTTCCACAACCATTTCATCATCAAGCTCTTATTTTGCGTACTCAGATCTCTGATGTTGAGTCCACCCCCTCTCTTGCTAACTAGCAACTCCTCCCATTTGACCAAATGATACTTCTTCTTATCTTCACTGCCTTTCCATAGAAAGTTCCTCCTAATTGCATCTAACCTCTTAGTTACTTTGGCTGGTATAAGGAATATTGACATCATGTATGATGGCAAGGCATCCAGGACACTGTTAACTAGAGTTAGTCTGCCACCTGAGGATAGATATTGACACTTCCAGTTCATGAGCTTCCTTTCACACTTTTCAATTACACAACTCCAAATTCCACTTGATTTGCTCTTTGCCCCCAAAGGCATTCCCAAGTAGGTTGTTGGTAGTTCACCTACTTTCCCTCTAAGCTTGTAAGCTAAGTCCTCAATATTTGGTACTGTGTTTACTGGGTAAATGAAACTCTTGTTCCAGTTTATGTGCAAACCTGACACAGCCTCAAAAATATTTAGAATGACTCTCAAAATTAGCATGTGCTCCTTTACAGCTCCACAAAATACTAAAGTGTCATCTACATACTGTAGATGCGTGATCTCTATATTGTTTGTTGTATTTTCCCCCACTCTGAAACCTCTGATCCAACCATTTGCTCTTGCAGTCTGGAATAGGTTGCTCAACCCCTCTATAGCCAAAGATAAAAAGAAAAGGAGATAGGGGGTCCCCTTGTCTCAAACCCCTTTTTGATGGAAAAAACCCATATGGGTTTCTGTTGATCAGAATAGAGAATTTCACTGAGCTTATGCAATGTCTGGTCCACTTTAACCATCTTTGAGCAAAACCCATCATTTGCATCATCTTCATCAAAAAGTTCCAATTCAGGTGATCATATGCCTTCTGGATATCCAGCTTGCATAGGATTCCTGGTTGTTTATCCTTTTTCCTGGAATCAATACATTTATTGGCTATCAACACTGCATCCATGATCCGCTTGCTCTTGATAAAAGCCATTTGTTGCTTGTTCACAAGCTTATGCATCACCTTCTTTAGTCTCTCAGCCAAAAGTTTTGCAATTATCTTGTAAACTCCCCCCACTAAACTTATTGGTCTAAAGTCATTAAGTTCTTTTGCCCCTATCTTCTTAGGTATCAAAGTCACAAAAGTAGCATTTATACTCTTCTCAAACACTCCTTCCACATAGAAGTTTTGAACTGCTGCAACCAATTCTATTTTGATGATATCCCAACACTGTCTAAAAAAAGCCATTGAAACCGCACATGCTTTGATGCATTCTAGAATTTTCTGAGCTTCAAAAGGGGCCATCAGTTGGTTGTTGTCATTTCATCAATCATAAGACACTCCCTCATTTCCAATTCTGGCCTCCAATCCTCAGTTTCAGAGTATAGATTCTCATAGTACTCAATGATCTCTCTTTGAATTTCAGCAGGTTCAGTTAGTAACTCTTCCTTGACTTTGATTTTATCAATAGTGTTGACTCTTCTGTGTGAGTTTGCTACCTTGTGGAAGAAATTGGTATTCCGGTCCCCTTGTCTAAGCCAAACTGCCCTAGATCTCTGTCTCCATGCCGTTTCTTCATTTTTGACTATTTCTTCCAACTCAGTGGTAAGAGCTAATCTGGAAACTATCTCCGCTTTCTCCAAAATTCTCTGATCCTGTATCCTTTCAATTTCTGCTAATTGATTGAGTACAAGTTGATTTTGTTGTTTCAGATTCCCTGGTCTTACTCCACTCTTTCAACTTTTCTTTAAATGCCCTCAACTTTGCTACCAGTATAAAATCTGGTTTTCCCTGGAAATGAAAAGACCCCCACCATCCCTTTACTCTGTCATTGAAACCTTCTGTAGTCAGCCACCAATTTTCAAACTTGAAATATGATTTGGTTGACCCCCATTCTCCACATTGTAGCATCAATGGGAAATGATCAGAGACAATCTTGTGTTGAACATGCTTACTGTAGAGCAATCCAACAAAAACAGATGATCTTGGTAGGCATTTTGGTCTTCCAAATAAGTTTCCAGGGACAAGGTTCAATGATCTGGTTCTGACAGCATATTTGATGATAACAATCTTTCACAGTGAAGGTGTTGTTTCTTCCCCATACCAATTTTCAGCACAATTCTCATTCTTATTATATTTTTCCACACTAGTAAGTAGTTCAAGCAGACTTCCCATCTCTCAATCCTGCACATTTCTTCTGAGCATTACATTCCAGTTGTTGCCACATCTCTTCTGGGCAATGTTTTTTTTTTTTTTGAGAATGATCTTTGTTGTTCTTGTCCTCCCATTTCATTTTGCTTAGTTTTTTTTTCCATATTTTGTGCTCGTTGCTGCCAGGACACACATTTCCTATACGAGCACAAGATAAGCATGCATGCAGACATGTATCTAACTCATGCTGCTGAATATGTTCTTCTTTTTATTTGTATATGCCAAGTTTATCCTTATCAAAAGAATTTGTGTATGTCAAAATTATTTTCTGAAGTTCCCTTTTATGATCTATTAATAGTGTGTAGATGCCAGTGGCAAAGCTCAATACAGGTGGGACTCCAGATGCAAAGAAAATAGCGGATCAGGTGAACAATTCGCTTGATATTTTCATCAGGCAAGCTATGGGAAAGGAACCCCTACCAAGAACTGGGGAAGGTCCTGTTCAGTGGATGCAGTGGCTTAATTATATGGATCAGTCAGGTAACAAATTTAGAACTTGGTGTTCATAGAATACAACATGTCTTTTTTTTAATGGTTTAACCATCCAGTATCCAAAGACCATTGGCCCTAGTAATGCGGATTCCCTTTGCGTATGTAAGTGTTTCATACTAGGAGTTTCTCCATTTCCAGTGCTCGAACCCGAGACCTCTAGAAAAGAGTAGAGGGATCCATCTGCCCACTGTGCGGATCAAGGAACTTTTCGATATTTCAATAGCTTGTGGACCTCAAGTTGGGATAGAATGTGAGTTTAAGTCATTCAAAATGCTTTAAGCCACAGTGCTTGATGCATTAGGTGAGGAGGCCAATAAGTAACCTGAAAAGGTCTATATGAAGATTCTCCAGTTTGTAATAGACCGCATACAAGATTGTGGCTTACGCCATGAATATTGATTGGCTTCTGTTACTTCTATTTTGTTTGCAGATATTACTGGATGGTCTTTATCGAATCCTTCAAACCTTAAGATGCAGAAGTGTGAGAAGTGTTCCAGGGAATTTTGTTCACCTATTAATCACCGAAGACATATACGTCTGCACCGTAGATCCTCAAATTCTGATAAGGTATATCTTGGAGGCCTTTATCTTTTATGTTACTTTGCTTTAATGTCGGAATAGATTTGGAGGTTTACCATTTGTGTACGTGTAGTTATTGTAAAAGGCTGCTTAAATTCTAAATTAAGTGTAGCACATGGTGCTTGTTAAAAGTGCTTTAGTGAAGGGCACTATAAGGTGTTAGCATGGCCATGATTCTCTGTTGATGAGAGTGTAGTTAGAAAGAAAGAATGACATATTAAATGCAAAGGAGACATTGTGAACAAATATGATATTAGATATTTAGTAATTATTATATGAAATTTAACCAGTTTTAGCCTGACACTTCAAAAAAAAACTTTCTATAACTCAGAAATTTAAATGCCTTGCAAACTCAATTAATATATTTTTTTATTTTAAATATTTTCTTAGTCATATAGTTCACTTGCAATTCTTTCAATCCTTCAACTGTATAATTGTATATGTGCTTATAGCTATTGTTTCTTGCAGTACATATATATTTTACATTCTCTCTCCGTTTTCACTTTTCTTCATTAAGGGCAACACTTAAATTTCCCTTTGTGCTTAGAGCCTGATAGACTTTACCACTGATATAGTAAATAAAGGAACAAAAATTGTTGTTTCACACTAGATACACTGATATTACAACCAGAAGTCTAAAAAAAAAATCACTAGGACACTGCCAACACCATAAATTACATCCTAAGACATCAATGAACTTTAGTTATATAATACATAACCTATGATTAAACAGATCACAACCTTTCTAGACATTTGAGAGGCTACAACTCTTCCAGAATTCCCTTTTCCTTTTTCTCAACACCCTCTTCTAACTGTCTTGCCCTTTTTTCTATAGAAAACCACCCCATAATTGTCGCATGACAGTTACTAAGTCTTTTAATTGTTTATTTTGGCCTCCTAGAATAAGCTTTTATAACTAGAGGCACATCAGAGTCCTAGCAGAAATTGATGCTTTAACTCTTTTTGTCTTTGAGAACACTGGTATGTCAATTGCCACTTGCAATATGATTTCCATTCTTGTTTTCTGATTAGGTAACTAATTGATGATATCATCTTTACTATTGGGTGTGCATGGGCTGAATCTTATGTTTTATTTACATTTTGTAGGAGTCTCAGAAATACAGGGATTTTTTGGGAGCCTTTTGGGACAAGGTACTTCTCCCTCACTCCCTAATTCTTCTTTTTGTGTACCCATTCCTTGATACTTATTATGTTGTTATATGGCTGCTACATACAGCTCTCGGTAGATGAGGTTAAAGAAGTTGTATCATTGCAAGATATTTCACTAAAGGTAATTGCTTTTCATGTTCCTGCTCTTATGTATGTTTTTTCTTGACTTAGTACTTGAAGTGGGTCTTTTTGAAATGGAACTTAAAGTGACTTCTTCCAGTTGCAATTGTAACACAGAAATGTGATGATAATGTAGAATTAACTAAAGGTAGAAGAATGCCTCTAGAAGAGTAAAGTCAAACTTCTCTATAACAACCACCCTTTATAACAGTATTTCACTATAAGAACCAAATTTTCTTTGGAACTAATTTTTCATATTATGTTTTACCCCCTCTATAACAACATTTTACTTGTAACAGCAACAACCATCACTATAACAATACATTCTTTGTAAAATTATCCCTATATAACAGTCTTACTCAAATATTAATTGATTTTTAATTTTCTATTTCCCACGTTATTTTAATGTTCAATTTTTTTTTGCTATTTCCCACTTTTAGTGCTAGACATTTAATTTGACTATTATATCTTCCTTTCCATACTTGATCCTGTGTAAGGCTGCATAGGCACCATTCCCCCAGACCTCACTTGTGGAATTACACTGGGTATGTTGTTATTGTTGACTAATAATAGGTCTAGTATTTTGACCAAATATTTTAATATTTAATACATTACACCACTATTGACAAAGAATATACATACTTCGGTAATTTAAAAAAAAACAATTGTAAGATGAACACATATTTGTATTCCATTAGACAGAAGTTTTCCATCTTGTAAGTGTCAAAAAAAATTCATGGTGTATTAGCTCTCTTTAATTTTAATTACTAAAATATGAATATCTTCTGAAATTTTAAATTTAAATAATTTGTTATTTTGTATGGCACCAGCCAATATAAATGTCAAGTACTTTTATAGGTGTATAACAGCCTACTTCTATAAAAGCCACAAAATATCAGAACGGACCGGCTGCTATAGAGAAGTTTGACTATAGTAGAATATCACCTTGGCTATTCACAGTGTGCAGCAAGATATGTCCCTCATAATCTGTTCAGGTAGATAAGAAGATAGAAAACCTGCATGTGTTCCTCCCTTTCTCTACGAGAAATTACAGCTTATTTCCACGGGTTTGCATAAACTGGACTGTAGTCTCTGTTTCCTTTTTTCAGAGATAATTTTCTTAAGTCATTGAGTATTTCCACATCCAAACTCATTATATGCCTTTGGTAAAGATTTATTAGGTTTCTTTTGATCTGAACAACCTATACAGAGTTTATACAAATGGTGATTATGCTAGAAATCTTTTTGAAACTATTTTTGACTAGCACAGAGTTATTTTGAGCTACTGATAAAAAAATAGCTGAAGTGACTGTTGGTCTGTCAAGACGAGAAAAAGCATAACAGTACATTTCTTCTATCCCACACCTTGCAGAGTGTTAGAGCGTGATTGACATGTTTCTTTTAGGAAACTTCGGGATCTGCACTTGTTCAGGCCTTGGCAACAGCTTTGGGAAAACCAGCCATTTGGTCTCTTCCTCGTGTTTATATAAAGGCTGGTTCAAAGTTGTTGGTTAGTTCTCTATTTCCATTTCTACCAAGTATTCTCAAACCAATGACAAAAGCAAAATGAGATAAGATCTAATGATGCTAAATAGGATCAATTTGCAGGAAGTCATCCAAGCTAAACCCTCCAGGCTTCCAGTGACCTCAGAGGAATTATTTAGCATTCTTGATGATGCTAGTGAGAGAACGTTCTTATGCGCTGGCACAGCTAAGTCGGTGGAAAAATATGTTTTTGATGGGGAAGCTGACAAAATTGGTTTCGACTCAAAGAATCTGGTTGCTTGCACTAGCTTCCTTTTTGAACAAAAGCTGGTACTTCTATCTCCTTTGAATCTTTTTAGGTTCCAAAGAACTTCCGGGCTTCATGTGTTGAAAGTTGAAACTATATATTTTCACATCTGTATTTGCATGATACTGTTTGATTCGGATCTGATTTTTATTCTTGGAAGTCTGGTAGATGAAGATACTCTTTTGTAATGCTCTACCTGATACTGTCCATCAAACCAACATCCACAGTAACTGGTGTTCATTTATGCTCAGGTTAAAGCATGTGCTGATGAAAAAAATGCTGAAGCCTTGAGATGCCAAAGGTTGCTTTTTGAGGAGGAAGAAGCTGCTAAAAAAAAGTGAGACTATTCTCGTCTTTTCATGTATTTTGCTGAGGTTATGTTCTATCGTCATTGCTCCTGTGTTCTGAATGACTAGTTATGACTTGATAAAGTTGTGTTTCTTATTTATTTTTAAAAAAACCTGTTGATGCTTAAAAATATTTTTGGAATAAAAATATTTATGTGCGCTGAAGATGTGCTCGTGCAGTTTATACCCTTGGGAGTCGTTTGGTGTGAGGTATAAGGTATAATAATGTTGGGATAAAATGCGAAATTAATTTGTCATGCATTTGGTTGGAGGTATTAGGTAGTCCTTGGATTATTTATCCCATCATTTATACCATGGTAATGAGATAAGTTATTCCATATATATGGTGGGATGACTTATCCCGGAATATTAATCCCAGGATAACTTGTTCCCAACCAAACGACCCCTTAATTCTTTGAAGCAGATTTCTCTACAAGTAGAAAACAATTCTGTATTTTATTTGTTTGTCAATTTTTAAAATTACGAATGAGGAAAATACAGTGATGTGGAGCTTGGGGATTTATATAATGGCATCTTAATTGACAGGTCAAATAACTCAATTCATTTCAGCTAGAAGTGACTTATTTTATTATTTGTTAGGTTAGTAGATAAAGACAGGACAGTGATAGTTCTTGGAAGCATTCACCCCTTAGGGGATGGGGCAAGGTTGACACTGGGAGAAAAACCAATCGGAAATTGTACATTAATTACAGTTTCCAATCTGCTTCAAATGAAAAGATTAGTTAATCGAAGATGTAAAACTTACCGCCCCAGCCAGTGGCGGAGCCAAAAATTTCATCAAGGGGATTCAAGTTTTATAAAAATAGGTTATATCAAGCTTCCCAGCTTCCCTTTCTAGTCAAGGGGATTCAACCCTTATATTTATCATGCATTTTATTATTTTTGGCTTGTTATATACGTGTATAATAAGTAAAAAATTTGAGCAAGGGGTATCATACAAACCCCCTTGCTTGAATGTGGCTCTGGCCTCAGCCTGCCAGTTTCTTAAAACTCTTGTCACTTCTTATCTCAGTGAATCTTGGTTTTTCCACTTCTATGTGGTATAGTTATTATAGGAATTCCTTAATTATTTCTCTTGTGATATGCTAGGCACGCTGAGCAACTAGAGAGGAAAAAAGTGAAAAAGCTTCGACAGAAGGAACAGAAAGCAAGGGAGCAATTAAATAAGGAAAAAGGAAATCTGGAGGTACCAGCTGATTGTTTTGAGGTTCCATTGGCAGAAATTCATAGCGTTCCAGGACTGTCTGACTCCAATTCTGATATTCCTGATGTATCTCTGGATGTCTCCACCTGTCTTAAACTGGTTCAATTCTCCAGCAATGAAGATAGGAGCATTGAATCCCAATGTGATTTCTCTCACCAACACCTGGATTTGGTAGAAGTTCAGAATGTTGAACCCCAACCAGTGTCTGCCAATAGTCAACGGCTTTCTGCCAATGCTGAATGGAAAGCTAAGCTATTAGAGAGGAAAAAAGTGAAAAAGCTTCGAAAAAAAGAACAGAAAGCAAGGGAGCAATCAAATGAGGAAAAAGGAAATCTGGAGGTACCAGCTGATTGTTTTGAGGTTCTATTGGGAGAAGTACATAGTGTTCCAAGACCGTCTGACTCCAATTCTGATATTCCTGATGTATCTCTGGATGTCTCCACCTGTCTTAAACTGGTTCAATTCTCCAGCAATGAAGATATGAGCATTGAATCCCAGTGTGATTTCTTTCATCAACACCTGGATTCGGTCAAAGTTCAGAATGTTGAACCCCAACCATTGTCTGCAAATGCTGAATGGAAAGTTGAGCTATTAGAGAGGAAAAAAGTGAAAAAGCTTCGAAAGAAGGAACCGAAAGCAAGGGAGCAATCAAATGAGGAAAAAGGAAATCTGGAGGTACCAGCTAATTGTTTTGAGGTTCCATTGGCAGAAGTACATAGCGTTCCAGGACCGTCTGACTCCAATTATGATATTCCTGATGTATCTCTGAACGTCTCCACCTGTGTTAAACTGGTTCAATTCTCCAGCAATGAAGATATGAGCGTTGAATCCCAATGTGATCTCTCTCACCAACACCTGGATTCGGTCAAAGTTCATGATGGTGAACCTCGATCAGTGTATGCCAATAGTCGACGGCTTTCTGCCAATGCTGAGTGGCAAGCTCTAAAATCGCAAAGGTTTGGCCGAAATGGTAGCAATCAAAATCATCAAGAAAAAGTTGAACCGTTACAGAAGCACAAGGACAGTGTTTCCCCTGTTAATAGCAAAAAGATATGGACTAGAAAAGTTAGTGTGGAAAGTGATGATGCTTCAATACTGGAGGTGCAGAAAGAGGCAATCGATCAGAAGCAGAGGAACTCTGAAGTGATGATTGGTTCTCTATCTATTTCAGTGAAAGATTGGAGCACTGGCCGACAGGGAAACTGCCCTGTCGAAGCAGGAGCTGGAAGCACAGAGCCTGCCATGCCTAAAAAGTGCAATATTGTTGAGAAGCCAGCTAAGCATAATGCTTTTCAGATTGGGTCAAACAGAATAGCTGCCAAGCTTTATATGCCTGTAAGTCATGAAGTTGGAAGACAAGATCCTGAAGAGGGTGTAATATCTTTGAAGTTTGATGATCGGACGTCATTGCATGAAAATCCTTTGCAGTCATGTCCCATGGACAGCTCTGGCACTCATAAGAATTGTCAGGTTCCTGATGGAAATGCACATCAAGGTTGGAGATTTTCAATTAGCGTCGCAAAAGCTTTTCTTGCTCAGAGTATGTTTTATTAGCTCTCTTGTTTCTATGTATTACATGCACACACAAACACAACCATTCAGCTTCAAGTATTGTCTGCTTTTTCATTCTGATTTATCTGATCATCAATTTAGGATGGAAGGAGGCCATCACTGGAGATCATGTCATGTTAGTGCGTTGTCCCAACACTGAGTTCTCAGAGCGCCCAGAAGTGCCAAGTAGCAGTTCAGAAATAGCCCCAACATTAGATTCTGGGGAAGATTCTGCTGTTTCCAGTGTTGACGATCTGCTGCCAAAAGATGGAGTTGTTCAGTCATCTTCAAGTAGAAAAAATAAGGTCAAGTTTAGGCCAGAGACTGAAAAGGGTATTAAGATAAAGTACATTCTCAAGCCAAAAACCCATCATTTAGGAAGTGAAAGGTAACTTTCTTACTCACACCCAATTGTGCAGTTCCTAGCCATTGCAACAGCGGTTTCTTTTTACCAGTGATCTTCTGTCAGAGTGTTAAACAAAGAGAGTTCTAGAGAAGTAGCTAGTTATCTCATCCCCTCTAAATTTGAGTCAACACAACATTGTTTCGCTCAGGCTTGTGCTCCTTACAATTTTGTTGTAATGAGGTAGGGTTTTTCTTTTCGGTGTCATTTGTCAATTCTTTCTGCTCACCAAATACCTTGTATGTTTAGCCAATGTATGGATCGATTCAAATCAATTGATGAAAATGATCCCAAAGATTACATAGCAACAATTTTCGTGTTTTTTTATTCTTATTATACTTGTTTGATTGGGACAACCCTCACCCCTTCCCTCTCTGTCCATTGATGTCCCTAAATGCTGGTTTTTGTTTGTAAGGCTTTGACCTGAACTTCTAGTTTGAGCAACATTACCTATTTTGACTCTCTTGGTGTTGGTGTTGCTTTTGGTTTACCAAAACTAACGGAGACACCAACCAAAGAATTTAGAAGCGCAAATGTAGAAATCAAGCAATGGCCAGCTAACAAGAGGGAGTTGCTATAATGAGTTCGAGTCAGGAATCATATATATATCATATATATAAGAGAACATTAGGCCCGCCTACGTGGCGCCACCACAAATCAGAATTCTCTTTTAATTTATTTATTTACAGAATTAGCCTTCTCTTTCATGAAAAGTTGTGAGTTTAATGAAAAGTTGCGACTTTAATGAAGAGTTGTGATATTTATGAAAAGTTGCGACTTTTATGAAAAATTGTGACTTCAATGAAGAGTTGCGACTTTTATGAAAGATTGTGACATTTCCGAAGGGTTGCAACTTTTTCAAATAGTTGTAACCTTTCTGATAAGGCACAATAAACATTTGTTCACACTACCCTTTGTTTTCTATAAATAGAGGGATTTTCTCTCATTTTAACACAACAAAAATTCTTAACCTCCTCTTCTTCTTCCCAATTAAATATTTGTATATTTTACTCATGTTGAGTGGCTCATTGCCTCTATTGCTTGTGTTACAGATCCTGGTATGTATTTTTACAATCATTAATTTATAATTTATGCTTATGTTATTAAGGCTAAATGATAAGATGTAATAATTTTCATTTTCCTTTACATTATTAATGTTTGTTACTACGTAATCTTGTATGTAAGATAATATAATATAGTGTTTTAGTTTTAATGTCTGATAGATTTTAAGTATTATTTTATAAATTCCATGATATAAAATTTCCGCGCGAAACACGGATAATTTTACTAGTAAAAGATAAAATAAGAAATATACAAGAAAAAAAAAAAGAAACTATAACTTTGCAAAGCTAAAATAAACCTCGTCGATGGTAAAATGAATGAGAAACAAAAAAAAAAAGAATGAGAAACCTGATGTGGATATATATATTCTTAGTTATATTTTAAAAAAAAAACACTTAAAATATATTCAACATAATGAATTTTAACTGCAATGTTTTAAAATCTGCTTTCACTGTCTTTTTATTGAAAGTTTAAAATAAATCTATTTCTCTAAAATTTTAGATATTTAATTAAAAAAAAATTCAATTGGAAAATATTAACAATCATTGAGAACTTATCTAATTGCAAATATTGAATATATTTTCAGCTTTTTATTTTTGTAAAATCTCTTTATGTTTCTAGCTAAGCATTTTAATTATGTTTCTAGATAAACTAAATTTGTATGTAATATTTTGTTAAATCATAGTATCCAGTTATAAAAATTAGCCCACGTTGACTGGGAAACAAAAAATACATCAACCTAACAAAACAACGTGAATAAGTTAATTTTGAATATATAAAACTTGTATTTATCAGGAAAATAAAATTTAAAAAAATAGTTATTACTATGTGCGTGTAAAATAATAAGGTGAGCAAAAATAGGTGACTGTCACCCCTTGTTGGTTAAAAGAAATGTGTAGATCCGAAAGAGGTGACACACTTGCTATCATTGATTTGCCCCACACCACTTTCAGATATTTGCAAATGTGAAAGCGCAGTTAGAGATCTGGGGTCTATCTGATAATGGTAGAGGATTTTTAATTGACGGGAGATTACATAACTCTTAATATATCGTAAAAAAGTTTTATTCGTGTTATACTCCAATATCAATGAATTCCAAAACACTATTTCAGTACTATTGTTCTTTTACATCAATGATGTATAATATAAAGATTTTGATAACCATCTCTCAACAACATTTATCCAAATCAAATATCACAGTGAAAGGAGACAAGGCAACCATAAGCCAAAACTTTTCATAGTCATGCATTTTTGTCAAATGTGTTTCCAGAGGTATGTATCGCTGCTTTCGTTTTGACCTGCTTAGTTCAGTCTATTTTAAAATTGAGCTAATATGCAATTCAGATCGACACATAAAACTCTTTATTAAATATTTTTTTTATTTAATATGCTTTATATAGTCATAATATAAGAGAGTTGCTTTTTTTAGTTAGGTGCTCAAATAAATTATAAGAAAACAAACCCAAAGTTTCAACTTAGTAAAAATTGAGCGGATTAAATTATGACCCAATTTTTGCTCACTTCAATCCAACCCACTTTAGCCCAAGTAACACTTGAAGCAAATCAATGACCCACTTTTTTTTAATCAATCGATGACCCACCTATTTATCAACTCATATAAATTTGACATTTTAAAATTCAACACAAAGTACTCAATTGACACACCTTATGTTAAGATACTTTTTAAATCACATTATTGTACTTCCGATTAAAAAAAGAGAGAAAAAAACTCATTTTGTTTCCGCACTCACATTATGTATGTTACATAATGAGTGTTTCTAATTAAAGTACAAATTGAAATGACAATATACAATTAACTGATAAAGTATGAGATTTTGAATATCCAGAATTGAAAGAAACCCCTAATTTACTCTAACCAATGTGTTACATGTGGAAACAAAACAATTGAAGATGCATAGTATTTGTATTTAGGTGTGAGATAGATTATAGTATACCTACTTTCCAACTAATACAGAAATGTCAAATACTCAACTCTGTTAAAATTGACTTGCTAGGATGCTCAATTATCGAACCTTTCTGTAAGTATGTGAAAGGCAAACTTGCAAGTGAATTACAATGCAGAATGTTTTAGTACAAGCTCTAAAATTATGGTCAGATGAGCCAAATATTTTACAGTTGCAGAAGAAAATTCAAAAAGAAGATAAACATCATCTCGAACCAGAAAGAGGTATCTTAGTTCACTAGATATTTAATGCCAAGGCACAAATTTTATAACAGGGTACACACAAATATACTTCTTGAGACATTACATGATGATACATAATTGAAGCATAGAACCCTAGGAGCATTTAAGCCATTTTATGGCAATAATGCTCACATATTATATCCCCTTGTACGGTCGTGCCCAAGAAACATTAAATTGAAAAGACCAATTAGGAAGTAAAAATAAATAGTGAAAAGTAACGACAGCTTAATTTGAACTAAATTATTAAAGAATAGGAAAACAAATCTAAGATTTTGAAAATTTTGCAAAATTGGAACTTGTATCTGGAAATGGTAGTTACCATGAAACCACAATCACAGAGACTTCCCTTCTATCTCGAAATTCCCCTAAAACTTTAGCCAGTCAGGTCATTTCCCCACGTTCAGAAATCACTTTAGGCAGCTCAGCAGGTGGAAACTACTCTTCTGATCTGATAGATAAGCGGAAAGAACTTTACAAGCAATGAACACTGAAGCTTTACTGTCTTTTGGAAACAGCAGACACAGACAAGCTGGCATGTTAAGCTCAACTGAATCCAAAAGATTCATAATCCACCATTTGAACCATTATCTCCTGTCCAAACCTGCAAAATGATTCAGACACCCCATGAGACAAACAAAGCTCCAGAACAAGCAAAGCTCTTTCAGCACCAAAGAGAACCCACCAACAAAAAATTGGAGGTAGGATTTACTTAATTAGCTGACCAACCACCGCAGACATTTCTTATCCATTCTTTCAGGAAAGGACCTTACTTTTACCAAGACGCATCATGTTTATCTATTTCGTTCTGTTGTTGTTTGCTTTTCTATTACAGACGAATATTACGCTTGAAGTGTGTGACTATCTCCTGCAAACTTAGGTTGTAGAATGAGCACTCTTTATTTGAGAAAATGATCAAAATAGTCCTTAATGTATGGACTTAGATTGATTTGGTCCCTCATATATGCAGTTTATGGAAAAGGTCATGTATGTATGTTAAAACTTATCAATTTAGTCTTTCACCCTAAAACCCTAACGACACAAAAAAAATTCTGTCAAATTAAACAGAGATGTGCAACTCACGTGACATTGAAAAGACGATTGATCTACTTCAGAAATTGAAATGACAATCCATCGATCAAAGGAGAAGAATCGCCAAAAACAATCGAAAGACTCCATCACCAAAGCTTAGAAAATGGGAAACGCCAAGAAATTGATGAATCAGATCATGGAGCTCAAGTTCACATCGAAAAGCCTCCAACGCCAAGCCCGAAAATGCGAGAAGGACGAAAAGTCTGAGAAGCTCAAGGTGAAGAAGGCCATCAAGAAAGGTAACATGGACGGCACTAGAATTTACGCCGAGAACGCCATCTGCAAGCGCAGCGAACAAATGAACTATCAACACAGGGAATCTACAGAAAATGTCGGAGACAATGGATTCATTCAAGCGTCAGTTTGTGAATATGGAGGTTCAAGCTGAATTCATGGAGAGTTCTATGGCTGGAAGTACTTCCTTATCGACTCCAGAGGATCAGGTCGGCAGCCTGATGCAACAGGTGGCTGATGACTATGGACTCAGGGTGTCCGTGGGGCTTCCACAAGCAGCCGGCCATGCTATATCTTCTAAGGATGAGGAGAAGGTCAGTGAGGATGATCTATCCAGGTGTCTTGCTGAACTCAAGGCCCGTGGATAATTGAGAAAACAGAGGTTTTGTTTAAGATTTTTGTATGTCACGTGAGTTGCACATCTGTGTTTAATTTGACAGATTTTTTTTGTGTCATTAGGGTTTTAGGGTGAAAGACTAAATTGATAAGTTTTTAATATAAA